CGTCTTCACGACATGGCGGCAGCAACAATACTACAGCGAGAATAAAAGTTACGCCTTCTTTCTTTTCGTGAACATTTGGGCGGCGTTATGCAAATCTTCCCACATAGTGACGTAGATATGTGGGGGCGTGTTAGAACGAGCCGTTTTAGGTAGGCGTGGTTGACTCTTAACTTTTATAAAGAATATCTCTTTGGATTTGAGACTTTAGTCTTCGCAACTTTACAGATCTTCTTTATGCACCAAGAGCTTGTAACACTCCAAAGAGAAAGGAAAAATTGAAATCACATCATATGACCCCTTTAAACCGCATAAACACATTTCATTACACCAAATACACAAAATAATGTTCTTTTTAGCAACATCATATGACCCCTTTAGTGAAACCAGCACAGGCTGTTCAGTACTGTTTCCACTAGTGGGCATCGTCTCCCATTATACTCCACACAGTGATTCAGGCCTTTCCTCTTGATTTCAAACACCTATTATAATTTTTTTGTCTGACTGCAGTTTTGTCTTACAGTAGTCAGTAAGCCATTGAAGTTTAGACTTGAATACGTGAATCGATACTAATATTACAGTTCATTTCCCTCTGTTCCGCTCTTTTTCTTTTTTTATCTCTCGCTCACGTTCCATTTCATCACACTCACTTTCTCGCATAAATTTACTGCAGGGGGACAAATTGTTCTGCAGCTTCTCATTTTCTTAGTGTTTATTTTCTCTTTATGGTTTTATCATTATGTTTAAATTCTCACAAGCCCTTTTATCATGGACCATTAATATTGTAAAAGTTGAATTATAATGACAATTGGATGAATCCAGAAATAATGCACTTAATTGTCACATGCTGCTGGCAGATTATTGTCCCATTACAGTGAAAGAAAATTAAACATTTAGGACTATTAATATATTTATACTACCATTATTTATACAATATATTTACATTACTGTTCAAAAGTTTGTGGTTAGTTCGAATTTTCTAATGTTTTTGAAATAAGTATCCTATTTATTTGATCAAAAATACTGTTAAAAAAATAGTAATATTGTGAAATATTATTATTACAGTTCAAAATAATGTTCTCTATTTGAATATATGTTAAAATGTAATTTACTCCTGTGATCAAAGCTGAATTTTCAGCATCATTGCTCCAGTCTTCAGTGTCACATGATCCTTCAGGAATCAGTATAATATGCTGTTTTGCTGCCCAAGAAATATTTATTATTATTATACATGTTGAAAAGTTGTTGCTTAATATTTTTGTGGAAACCATGATATATATATATTTTTTTATGAAAACAATGTTAATTTGAAATAGAAATCTTTTGTGACATTTGTCACTTTTGATCAAATTAATGTGCATAATTTTACTGAATAAAATTATGAATTTGAAGTAAAAAATAAATAAATTACACTGACTCCAAACTTTTGAATGTTAGTATATATATATTAGTGTATATATATATATATATATATATATGTATTTTTATTAATTTTAATACTTTTTTTTATATTTAAGCACATTTTACCCCCCCAAAAAAACACATTTAATTCTGAGGACACTTCATATTTGATATAATGCCTTTAATGCTGATTGATAAAAAAAAAATGCAGTATTTATTTTTTTAAAGTATTATTAACTTTTTTTTTTTCATTTAGAAAATGACAAAACAATATATAAATAAAATTAAATAAAATTACTGGCGTAATTTACTCTACTTTCATTTAATTTTGAGGTGAGATTCATCAGGTGTTCAGGTAGACATTTGATTTGACACTCGCACTAAAGTAACTGACTGAACATCAAAGAGGAAAGCTATTCACTGAACACGCTTACGTAACTCTGGCATAATTTCAGATGATTTATTTAAACAAGTGTCTCCTTATTTAATGCAGCCCCTGTTGTGAAAACGGATCCTGAGCTTTGTTTGTTGTGTAGATGTACACATTAGCTCACTTCAGACAGCTGCTTCAGCCAGACAGTTGCTTTCAGTGTATGGAGATTATTTACATCCTAATTTGTCGGCCGCCTGTGTTCTCTGCCCTCGGAGGAGCTGAAGAATGTGGAAAATAACTTTACTGATGGTCAATTGTTAATCAGTGACTAATTCACTATTCACAGCTCATGAATGATGAATGGTGTGCATAATGCATAGTGTTTAGTGAGGGCGCAGCAGCAGGAAGATCTGTACATGTTTCTGATGAGATAACACTGTGATAAACAGCACTTGTATGTAGTTAGCAATGCTCACTCAGCTTGAGTTCTTGTTGGTGGAGGCAAAGACATTTTAGGTCTAATTCAGGCACCCCAAGGAAACAGTATAGTGGATTTTCAGTGCCAAGGTTTTAAGTCAGAAGTATACGGGACAGCAAACCAAAATATGTATTTATCTAGATGGTAGTTTTTAGTTAAATCCACTTACTTGGCACATAAGGTGTTGTTGGATTAGTTTCCCTGGCTTGAGATCAATATGGATGATTATGGCATAATTATGTTAAATTAAATTAATCGAATTGTGATGAATTTGGATTCTGGAAGCTGACTGGAGCTCAGCAGGTTGTTGTATTCCCGTGGTGCTGTGGCTGTCATGGACACCGGCGCTGCTGTGTCTGATGTCAGTGTCAATGGCTGCACATGTTAGTGAGGCCATGGATTGAGTTCCCCTACAGTGCTAGATGACCAGATCCTTTTCAGTGCTGGGACAGTGATGTCATGGAGCCCTTGCTTCATGCCCTTA